ACACACACACACACACACACACACACACACACACACACACACACACACACACACGGAGTGATGCCCACCCTCCTGCTGTAAATAAATACAATTTTTTTTTTGGAGACAGGATTTCTCTGTGTATTGTGGCTGTCCTGGAACTCACTCTACAGATCAGGATAGATCTGAATTTACAGAGATCCTCTGCCTTTGCCTCCTAACAGGATGTGGCACCCTCCACCCTGTTAATAAGTATAATCTTAAAACCAAAGCAAACCACAATAGTTCACCCTTTAATACAGCTCTAGGGAGGCAGAGGCAGGAGGATCTCTGTGAATTCAAGGCCAGCCTGGTCTACACAGTGAGCACCAAGCCAACCAAGGCTTGCTTGCTCACTCGTTCTCTCTCTCTCTCTCTCTCTCTCTCTCTCTCTCTCTCTCTCTCTCTCCCCCCCCCCCCCATCTCAAAGCCAATCATTACCACCAACAAAATCAATTAGTTAACTAAAATACTGAGCAGCAGCACCAAGATCGCTCAGCAGGTAAAAGTACTTGGTACACAGGCTGAGGACCTAAGTTTAATCCCTGAAAGCCTGGTGGAAGGCAAAAACAAATTCCCCAAAATTGTCTTATAACATAGCTGTGCACCTGTTGTGTGCACGAGCACACACAAATAGCAATTAATTTTCTAATGAGCAAAGCTAAGAAAGATTTATGCTTATAATCCTAGCACTTGGGAAGTGGGGGTAGGAGGAACAGAAGTTCAAGGTCACAAGGTCACTCTCTGAAACCAGTCAGGCTGAATGAACTATTTAGAAAGAAAGAAAGAAAGAAAGAAAGAAAGAAAGAAAGAAAGAAAGAAAGGAAGGAAGGAAGGAAGGGAGGAGAAGGGAGGGGAGGGGAGGGGAGAGGAGAGGGGAGAGAGAGAGACAGAAAGGAGGGAGGGAGGAAGGCAGACAAGAAAGAATGAATGAAAAAAAAGAAAAAAGAGGGGAGGCTAGAGATGGTTGAGAGCACAGACTGCTTATTCCAGAGGATCCAAAAGGCAGCTCACAACTCTCTGTAGCTCTCGATCCAGGGTATCCAACACTTTCTTCTGGTCTCCAGACATCAGACAAACATGTTGTGTACAGACAAAACCCTCAAATATATAAAAATGAATCTTTATGAAAATAAAAACAGAAAGGAGTATAACAGGGTCTCAGACCTTAGTAGGCCTCAAGACCTCACCACAACTGATTCCATGATAGAAGTACCATTCAGGCTGTACATAGACAATACCATTTACCAAAACTAAAACAAAGGCCTAGTCCATCAAAGTTCAGTTATGAAAAAGCCTCTAAATGTATTAACCTTGTTTTTTGTGTCTGTAGTTCTGCTTCTGGTTAACTCTTCTTCTTAATTGATGTACGTCAACCCAGGACATGGTTTTTGTGCTTAAAAAGCTTATCTTGAGAAAGGCTCAGTGCTACATTGGGACCCTGAACACCCAATGTAGTCACCGGATGGCTAATAGGCTTTCTGTTGGCTTAAACCCATGTCCAAGAAATACTTAGTTTCTTGTTGAGTTAAGAACTGTTGTAGTTGGCCAGACTGCCATTGAATACCTTTTAAAGTTAGTTGTACACAATTCACAAGATTTCTTTGAATATGTTTTTGAAGTTTTTTGTTTAACGTAAACGGCAGAATAGATAATAGTCTGCTTGAAATTAAAAAATAATCAGTTCAGGAGGAGTTTGTAGAGAAGGCATTTAAGGTTAAAAAATTTTTTTTCCGGACAGCCAGGGCTACACAGAGAAACCTTGTCTCGAAACACCCCCCCCCCCAAAAAAAAATTTTTCCACCTGTTCTGGGGATAGCACCCAGAGAGCTTCTGATAATCACTCTACCTTGAGCTACACCCCCAATTCATTTATATTTGGACTGTAGCATAAGTAGAACGCCTCTACTTGCTCTTTCTTTACTCCCAAATATGAATTTTGCTGTAATTTTTATGTTTCTCTCATTTAAAGGTTCTATTACGATAACTTTGCCAGCATCCTAGGCAGGTCTCACTCTGCTTCTGCTACTGCTGTGATTTGTCCTGCATAGTGCGAAGTATAAAAATTTCTTCTTGCAGGAGAATATTTTTTGCCCTGTGAAAATGGCTGACTTGGTGGTACTTTTGGTGTGGCCTTTGCTTTGTTGTGCACATTAGTTAATGGGACTGTATTGTCCTTTATCCTGTTGCCACCTTGCCCAAACTTAGGAAGTGTGTATGCTTGGCTACTTTTCTTTTAATCCTCTTGTCATTTGATAAGTTGTCAGTTTTCCTAATTTTTCTAAATTAAAATACTTCTCATTATCCAGTTCCTTTGGTTTTCTGTGCAAATAGGGAGAATTTGGATGCTAAAAGGACCCATATACCTTACTGTTTAATGTCCAAGTCTCATTAAGAACAGAATTCACATTCAGATGATGGTGGCCCATTCCTTGAATGCCTGCACTGTCTCTGCATTCAAGGCCAGCGTGCTGTACAGAGGGAGTTCTATGACAGCCAGGGCTACCCAGAAAACAAACAAAAGTAAGAATTCACAAAATGAAGCACTCACTGTAAAATAATTTGAAGTTATGTGTTCCTTGGTCTCTTTTTACTTTTATGTTGAGACAGGGTCTCACCAAGTTGTGCTACCTGACTTAAAATCATTCTATATCCCAGTTGACATTAGATTTACAATCATCCTACCTCTCCCTCCTGAGTGCTGCGATTAAAAGCATGCACTGTCACCAAGCAGCATCTCTCTAGATATCTTAAGGGCATTCTTTAGTAGAAAGTTATCTTCACAAAAGGACCCTGTTCTCTCCGCCTCAATTCTTTCTAAGTGCTGAATTAAGTCTTTGCCACCATGCCTGGCAAAATAATATTTTTAATGTGGTAGTTGAAAGGTTGATTTTCATTAGTTGCTGAAACATTCACCCTGTACTTGGTGTCTGTTACTATAGAAAGGTCATGCTACTTACTTTCATGGGAGAATGGAATAGGTAATATCACTTGTGCAGTTTACTGTAGTGGATGTTAAGAGTTTTTTTGTTTTTCGAGACAGGGTTTCTCTGTGTAGGTAGCCCTGGCTGTCCTGGAACTCACTCTGTAGACCAGGCTGGCCTCGAACTCAGAAATCCACCTGTCTCTGCCTCCCAAGTGTTGGGATTAAAGGCGTGTGCCACCACTGCCCGGCAAAACTAAGTATTTCTAATAATTGGCTTAGATATTATATACCCTGCCTCAGGCTTGGTCTCAAGCCTGTTAGTCTGGAATTAATCAAACCAGCAAACAAGCTTCTAGATAGGCTCCACTTCCGACATCATCTATGCATTCAGGCGAAATTAATTTGTTACCTTCTGCCCCATCCCGGGATTTTGTCTTTCCTGAGTCAGAAGCCTACATTAATGAGTTACATATTTCGTATAACTGGCCAAAACTAGGGGGAATTTAATCTAAAATTTCTTGCAAATCGGCGTCGTTATTTGCAGATAAAACCATGCTAGTTCTAAATCCTTGTCAGTGCGAGTGGTTCGACTCGCTACGAAAACCGGCCACTCCTCCGTTTAAGCCGCCGGATACGAGGCGGGCAGCGGCAGCTCAGCCCCTCCATTCCTGGAGGACCGGCAGGGTCTGAGCGCGCCGGTCCCTCGCCTGGGCTCTGGGCGGCGAGCAGGGTGCGGCGGAACCCGGGCGCCGGAGGCCGTTAACAGGCCGCGCGCACGCGGCTTTCCCGCCACTCTGGGAGCACAGCGGGCTGGCCTCCAAAGCTGGCCCAAACCCTCTACCGGCCGCCCTCGCCCGGCGGGGGGGACCCTCCTCACCTCACGAGCTTCATCCTAGCGGCGTAGCCTTCCTTCTGGTCTGACTGTTCACGGAATTCAGGCTCCAAAGACCCAGGGACTAGGGGTATGAATGGCCGGAAGAGCGCACTGAGGCCTGCGGACGCGCGACGAGAACGCGGAAGCCGCGCTGCCTTCCGGCCTCCGGGAGAGCGACAGCGGCCCCTAGCAACGGGAGGAGTGCTTTGCGCCTTCGGTGGGCGGGAGGGCTGGTGGATCTGCAGGATTCCGAGACCAGTTATGAAATTATTAAAACCAGTTATGAAGGCCTGGAACTTTCACACGTCAAAGGAAGAGAAGTTCTGAGAGAAGTTCTCCAAGATCTGATTTAATCCTTGGGATCCACATGTTGGAAGCTGGAAACTCAGTCCTGCAAGTTGTCCTTAGTTGGCTTGACAACTAAGCTAAGCCAATCAGATCTTTGAACAAAATGGTTTTCCTTTGGGGATGTGAATTGTACTAACCCAAGAGCTACAGGGCACCTTCTTAAAACTAGGAAAACCATTCTCAGGACAGTTTTAAATAAGCCTTTCATTTTATATATAGTAAGTCCTTCGACTTAAAAAAAAAGTATGTTGATATTTCAGGTAAAATTAAAACAAAAAATTCAACTCCTTATTTGCAATAACTACACTGTTAAATGTATTACTCAACATCTACATTTGTATCTACTTACAAATATAGTGCAAATAATTTTCACTATCACAAGAAGTTTGGATAATATTAGTTTATTATCATTTGATTCTAGAATTTATTATTTATGGCTCTCAGGAGAATATTGTGTCTGAAAGCAAAGAAATACAACTGCTTACTGTGCTCTCCAATATCCAATACTGCTTTCAAGGATTGTGATTTTTGTCACAAAACATCCCTGTTCCCATGTATGGGAACTGGTCCCAAAGGTCAATGAGACCAAGGAAAAAGGCAGGCAAGTCCAGAACTGCAGTGTGCACTTTATAGGTGACTTACAACAGGCACATGGGCCTGGGCATCAAGAAAACACATAGATCCTTGAGATTTGGGTTAGAAGATATGTGGGTTATAAAACAGGGGGAAATTATTTCAAAGATAGGCATGGTAGTGCAAATTTGGGGCCAGCATGTACCACAGATTCTATCTCAAACCTTCTCCTTCCCCTAAAAAGAGATTTCACCCAAGTTAGATTATACTTTATCTATTTCAAGCTAATCAGAGCCAGGTACATCCTTTGGCCAAGGTCTGGTCAAAAAGCTTCACATACAACTCTCTTATGATTTTGTCTATTTTATGTTGGGAAGCCAACCAGGGTGATTCAGGGGTAATTTTGATAGTTTCCACTCAAAATAATTTTAGTAATGTCAAGATAAATCTACAGTCCTTGACTGATATTCATGAACAGTTAAATACTTCCCTCCATTAAAATGTGTGCTTTATAAGGAAGGAGGCCTTGTGCATATCATTTGCTGCAGTAATGCCAGTACTCTGTATCTGGTAATCCTGACCCACAAATCCACTTTCCACTTGGGGTCATCCTTCCTTCTGATTCATCTCCTCTCCCCTCAGTAATACAGGAATGTCTAACATCTTGTAGTTCATCAAGCTCACTCTTCTTTTTAGATGTTTGTACATGTAATGTTATAATCTAGCTAAAACCTATTCATTCTCTCTCAGCTATGTAAGCCAAGCAGTGGTGACACCGGTCACAATTTCTTACTCTATTGCAGTACGAGTGTGTGCTCTGAAGTGAAGACAGCAACAAGGGTGGAACAAAGTAAATGTTCTATTTGCTGCAACCCACAGGGTCAAGTCTGGAAGTGGGATTGTTCTGTCCTCTGTGAGTTGGCAGAGGTTTGTATGCTGTGGCAATTATATTGCTCACAAAAAAAGAAAAAGGAAATGAGAATGTGATGAGTGGGGGGTCAATGTGCTCATTTAAAGAACTTGTCATGATAAGCACAGAAAACTACATTCTGAGCTGGAGATACAGCTCAATTGGTAGTGTTTGCCTCGCATGCAAAGACTGTGTGTTCAGTCTCCAGCACAGCATAAACTGGAAGTGGTAGTATATGTCTGTAATCTCAGCACTCAGGAGATAGGAGCAGGAAGATCAGACATTGAAGGTCATCTTCAGCTACATAGTGAGTTCCAAGGCAGCTTAAACTCCACGAAACCCCATCTCAATAATCAAAAACAAACAAGTTTTAAGCCGGGCACTTGGGAGGCAGAGGCAGGTGGATTTCTGAGTTCGAGGCCAGCCTGGTCTACAGAGTGAGTTCCAGGACAGCCAGGGCTACACAGAGAAACCCTGTCTCGAAAAACAAAAACAAAAACAAAAACAAAACAAAACAAAACAAAAACAAAAAAAAAAAAAAGGAAAGAAAACTGGGTAAAAACTTCAGGAGATAGAGTCACAGTTCTCAGTTTAGCCAGAGGACATAAGTGTGGGCCACAGCCTTTGTTTCAATGGGCAGACAGCAAAGTGGAGCCAATCAGAACTTTCTCCCAGGACTTTCATTCTACTTAATTTGCACTGAGGTTGAGTAACCTTTGTCCAGTTATCAGAAGAGCCTACTTGAGGATGAATGCAGATAAAAGAAAAGGGCATAGAGTCAAAGGTTTGAGAACACTTCCAGGCCTTGAAGTCCCATCAATCCCTGGCTCAAAATCCCACCAGTCCCCGAGCTTGCCCTAACATCACAACTTGAAATCTCACCAATCCCAACCCTGGAAATCTCCACTCTGGAAATCTCCACCCCCCTCCCCCCAAAGACACCTTATATACACCTACCTGCCCCTCAGTTCTCTGCTTCTCTCCTAAGCAGAGGCAGCTACACTCCTGTGTTCTCCTCAACAAATCTCTTTTATGAGGTTTCCTGTGTAGCATGACTTTGTGGTATTTCTTGGCTCCCAGCTGCCAGGATACTCTCTCATCAGAGTTATAACACATAGTATCCTGTTGACATAATTTGAGTCTTGGGTTTCAGGATGGCCTGAGGTCATCTGCTCCCCCACAGTTTCCAGTTATAATAGCCATATATATATAAGTTTCAGGTGGATTTAATCATTTCAAACTGATGAAAGCTGGCTAATTTTTTATTTGGATTATCAAACATTTCTTTCCAAAAAAAAAAAACAATTTTATTTGGATATGTGATGGGGAAAGTTTGATTACAAAACTTTTCCCAGGGAGATACCAAATATTCATCTACTTACCTCTGATTGGGAAACCTTGAATACTAAAGTATAGATACTTCCCAAATCCAATTTAGTGAACCAGTGAGCTTTACTGGGGTTATTTACAGGAATGTGAGTGAAGTGTTACTTACATGAGCCAAGAATGCCACAAAGACAAAAACCCACTCCAGCATGAGTGAATATTCACAAATCTAGGAACCTGGAATACATTGCACAGCATGTAGGCAGCTCAACAGGTTGGAAAGTGTCTTTTCCAGGTACTGCAACTGGACTAAAACCTATTGTAGTTTGAAAGAAAATGGCCCCCATAGGTCAATAGGAAGTGGAATTATTAGAGGTGTGGCCTTGTTTGGGGTAGGTGTGGCCTTGTAGAAGGAAGTGTGTCATTGTGTGAGGTCTCCTATGCTCAAGCTACACTCAGCTTGTGACTCTTGTTGTTTGTGGATCAAGACACAGAACTCCTGTTATGCCCAAGTCTGGGGATCCCCAGAAGAGTTCAAGGAACTGCTGACCCGATGTATTGGAACAAAAGAGTCTTTTTTTGAACCAGGCTCGGGTCGCAAATCCTTCCCACTGTGCAGTGTAGGAATGCAACTTCAGGGTTCTGTGACAGCAGAAGTGACAAGAGAAGTCGTCCTTCAAACCAATACTGTTTGTTTGTTCAGGCAGTGGGGTGGAACCGCACAACTGGGGAAGAGGAGCTCTTCTGACGTTTATGGTCCTATCAGGAACTAGTGTTTTTACAAACTGGCCACAGCTGTCTGGGAATGCTTAATTGTCCCCCTGTCATGGCCCAAAGTATGGCACTTATCTCTCCAAGGGTGTTTGGTCTTCAATTTTCCCAAGGACAGGGACAACCTGCACTGGGAAGTGCTTAGCCATCCATCAGAGAGGGTGCCTGCCTTGGCTACAAGGACTGAGAGTTGTTTATCTGTTCCTAAGCTGGCATTTGTCACTCCCGGGAAGGCATTTCGTTAGGGAGTGCCACTATGAAGATGGGGATAGCAATATTTAGAGGCCAGGCCATGCCTTCACTAAAATGCCAGTTGTCAAGAAAGAGAAGGGGGTGGGGGAAGCTCTACAAGCAGTGAGGAAAGTACCAAGGAGAGGGAAAGCTATGCAGAAGCTGTGCTTTTTCACTCTCAGCGTTTTCTCCAGCACCACGTCTGTCTGCATGCCACCATGCTCCTTGCCATGAAAATAATGGACTAAGCCTCTGAAACTGAAAGCCAGCCCAGCTAAATGTCTTTCTTTATAAGAGATGCCATGGTCATGGTGTCTCTTCACAGCAATAAAACTCTAACAAGACACAAACCTCTTCCAGGCACATCTGGTTTCTGTATCTTTCAAGTAGCTAGTTCATCATCTTAGAGTCTTCTTTTGTAGCCCAGCTTATCTGAGAGTCCTTTTTGCAGCTTGGCTCTGGCCTTCTGATACAGGCACTCAGCTTTTATTGCTTATTCTGGCAGGGAGGAGCCTAGTGAAGCTAGTCATTTTCAGGGACTTCCTGAAGTTATTTTGAGTTGTTTACCTTCTTGCTTAAGGAGCTGCCTGCAGGATGGAATGTTTTAATCTTGAAGGAAACTGTTATACCATAGGGAATGTTAGGGCTAATATATAGAAAACAGAACAAATTGTTGGAGTGGTTCTCTTTCTACCTTGTGAGTTATAGGGGCCAATTCTGGTGTCAGACTTGGTAGCAAGCTCCTGCATTTACCTGCTGGCCATCTTCCTGGTCCATTTGTTGCTGTTTTGTTTCAAACCATTAACATTTTTTATTGTTAATTCGGACTTGTGTGTACATGTATGTGTGTGGGTATATGTGCCATGGGGCACATATATAAGTCGTAAAACAATTTTGTGGAGTCAGTTCACTATTCCCATCTTAATGTGAGTTCTGGGAATCAAATTCAGGCTGACAGGCTTGTGT